CACAATGAGCTGGTACCATAGTTCCAGCTCATTGGGGAGGAAAACCCTCTCCGCAGTGTGTGTACCATACCTTTCCAAAGCCCCTATTATTTCACTGTATATTCACTTGGTTTTCTTCCTTCATTATTATGACATATTCAGTTTCTACACCCAATTTTATATACAGTCACTCACTCAAGCCTTATTTCATTTCTTACAGGATCAATGGTTACTTTCATTCTTAGTTTTACAGATATTTTTCTCTAAATTTACATTACACAGTAGCTACATATGATACATATTTACAGTTTGCTTTATACATCATATCTTCCTCAAGTAATTTCATTTACAATTATTTGTTCCCATTGCATCAGTCACATTCTTTACAGTAGTTGTTTCTCATTACATATATCAGATATTTTCTCAGATACTTTCTTTACACTCATTATTTCACATGTACCCTTCAGGATAACAGTAGTACACTCTTTCACAGCCCTTCTCCTCTTTGGGTTTGTTCCCCTTTACTCATCCTTGTTTTCTGTTTTCATTTCTCATCTCTTATTTCTACATATGTACATTTCTTTCTCATAACCGGAATTGCCACAGTCTGTGCTCATTTGTATCTTAGAGTATATAAGTAGTCCTTCTTACACTTGTACCCCCCCATACACATACATAGAATACATACAGATATACATAACAATATATAGGGAACCAGGAAGATACATATACCATACAACAACATACATACAACAATCAATGCATACTTTGCCAGAAATAATTTAGTCATATTTTCTTTCCCCCTCTTTTGCATATTTTGCCCCTTAGTGACTCCTTGCATACTTTGCAGTCATTCCTCAGAAACCTTGCATATTTTGCACATTACCTTTTGAACACCTCTGCATATTTTGCTCATACCCTCTGAACCTTGATTCTCACTCCACAATCCTCCTTCCTCATCACTCCTCATTCACTCAGTGGTATTATCACTAGACCTTGATAACACCTCCCTGTCCTAGAACTCACTAAGAATCACTAGAATCCACGCCACACCTTTCTTCTTTTTCTTAGTGTAACTCTTCCCAACTCCAGCATTGTACAGGAGGGCAGCCTCAACAGCACCCATAGCCTCAACTTACATTATTCGTAGTGTAGTTGTCTATTTCCCCTCCAAGCTCTGTTTCTGATTGTTCAGCAGTTCCACACCGATGAGCTGCTCTTCAGCCTACTTCATCGGGAGGGTTTCCTCCCAATGAGCTTCTCTTCAGCCTAGTTCATCGGGAGGGTTTCCTCCTGATTAACTGGTTTCAAATCCAGCCCATTGGGAGTAAACCCTCCCGATGGGCTGGATTTAAAATGTTACATAATAAGAAGATAGGATTACGTGAGCAAAACATCCTAGGATGTTTTGCTCACGTAATCATACCCGCTAGTCAAGAACCCAGAAGATCGTTCTTGATGGGCGGGTTCTGTTGCCCTCCCTTCCTGGAGGGGCGGGTTCTTCTGCCCGCCCCTCGGAAGCCTGTTTTCTTGGGAAAACAGGATTCTTAGGGGCGTGAAATCAAACCCGCCCCTCCAGGAGGGGCGGGTTCAATCGCACGCCCCTTTTGGAGGGGCGTGGGCATGGGCGTGCGGGGAGGGGGAGGGAGTGCATTTATCAACGCCCCCCAAACTTCATTCTTTTTCTGATGTTTTTACAGTCGCTAGATTGCAATCTCTACCTCCTGTTTGACCCCAATTTGACCTCAAAATCCAACTTAAAGAGGGTACTACTCCTCCTTTTGGAGGACTATATAATCTCAGTGAATTGGAACGGAGACAACTCCGTTCCTACATTGATGAGAACTTAAGTAAGGGTTTCATTCGTTTGTCTTCTTCACCAGCAGCAGCCCCTATTTTTTTGTTAAAACAGAAGGAAAAGAGGATCGACCTTGTGTTGATTATTGAGGGCTTAATGCAATAACAGTTCGGGATAGTTATCCCATCCCAGTTCTTTCTTTACTACTTAATAACCTAGCAGGTTGTAAGTTTCTATCCAAGGTGGATTTGAAGTCTGCATTCAATCTCCTTTGGGTCACTCCTGGTCAGGAGTACCTCACAGCTTTTCGCACTCCTTGGGGTTTGTTTGAGTATATGGTCATGTGATTTGGCTTGGCTAACGCGCCTGCCACCTTTCAACGTTTCATTCAATATGTACTTTGCAAATTTATTGATATTTGTTGTTTTGTTTATATTGACAACATTCTTATTTTCAAAAACGGAGGAAGAACACTTAATTCAACTTTCTTCTATTTTGACTAAGCTTTGAGAATTCTCACTTAAAGCTTCTCTAAGGAAGTGTGAATTTTTTCAGTCCAAGGTCCAATTTTTAGGTTTCATCATC